GTGGGTGGGTGGGTCTGAGGTATGCAGACCTGGGTGTGAAGCGGGACGTTCTCTGCTGCTGAAGTTACCAATCACGAGAGTCCCTTGCTAGGCTGCTGTGGGGTGAGGTCACCAAGGTGACATGATGGGTCCGGTCCTTATCATCAGAGGGCAGTGTTGGGACGACCTGAGGCTTGTTGGAGGCCATGCGTGCCACCCTTGGTGGGGTCTGTGCTGTATTTGGCATATCAGCCGCTCCCATTCCCCTGAGGGCCCCGAGTGAGTGTGGTTCTAGAACTGTCCAGCAGAGGGCAGCAGATGCCCACAAACGGCCTGCTGACTGCCAGCACTATAAACTGAACCTGGCGCGGCTCTCATTGCCTTGCCCAGGTAGGCCGCTCCCCTTGGCTCTGGAGCCCAGGATGAAGCTTGTCCCCGCAGGAAGTGAGACAGGGCGGGGTAGGGGCTGCGGGGAAAGGCTGGCCTTCGCAAGCCGGAGGCCCAGGTGCGGTGGTGACCAGCCATGGCCCAGCCTCCTCGGGGTCTCAGCCAGCTGGGCAGGCAGGCTATCTGGGTCCTCAGGGATGAAGGCCAGGGCCACGGTCCCTTCAGCCCTCCTCCATCATCCCCAGCTACCTGCTGAATTTTGTTCATTGTCAAGCTTGGTTTTCTCCGAGCAGCCTTCTTGGACACTGCTGTTCCCAGTTCCCATTCCTGTCTGTCCCCACAGAGGTCATCAGAGCCCCTGGAACACTCTAGTGCCCCTACGTTGTCACCAGCTGTCTTCCCCAGTAGGCCATGGCACCCTCTTGTCATGGCTTACATCACGGGAACCTCACCTTCCACCTTAGTCCCTTCTCCAGTTCTGTCGCTTCCCAAACCCTCCTTCATATCAAACCCAATGCCAACCATCTCCGGCACACCTACTGCCACCCCACTTCTGGCTGGCTTTGTGCTGTCGTCCCTGACTTTCTTTCCTGATGGCCCTGCTCTTACCTCTCCAGCATCCTGACCGAGTCACGAGCAGTCCTCCCATGCCCAGAACCTGCAAATGGCTTCTTACAGCGACTGGCAGAGAGTCAGGTTGTGCCCTGGCGCCTCTCTGGCCTCACCGTGGACCCTGGTCTGTGCCAGGCCCTTGGCACTCACTATTCTCTGTGTAGAATGTTCTCCCCAGGTCTTTGCATGGGTGGCTCCCCAGATTCACCCAGGTGAGCTAGTCAGAGGTCCCCTCGACTCCACCCTCCCCCAGTCCAGGATACATCTGTTTCAGAACCTTTGACTTTCAATGGCACCATGGGACGTTCGATGACATAACTTTATTGTCTCTCCAAAGAGAAAGCAGGTGGCCTGGGGTGGGGGTCTCTACTGTACTCCCCCAGCACAAGCGATCATGAGAGTCATTGAATAGACGCGCACACAGTTGCAGAGGGAGGGCACCGCCATTTTTGGTGGCCTCTCTGCATTGCGCCAGGGCCCATGTGCCAGGCACTTTATGAGTGTTAGCTCACTGGATTTCTAGCGTGACCTTGGGAGGCAGGTACTCGTAATTCCATGTTACAAATAAGGAGTCTAAGGCTCAAAAAATCCAAGGCAGACCACACAGCTAGCAGCAGGCAAAGCCAGCTTGGATGCCAAGTCAGCTTGCCGCCCAAGACCACCCCGTGCTGCATGCTGCTCCCTGGCATCGCTGAGCCCCGCTCCTGCCCCAGTGTCCTGGTAATCCCGCCCCCCACCCCCCGAGTTTGCCCCCTTCGTTATGGATGGCCCCCATTCGTTTGTTTTTAATAGCTTTCTTCTCTCCTGTCATCTTGCCTTATAAATTCTGGTGGAAGAACCAAGACCTCCCAGGAGTTCCCGCCACACACCAGTTGGCGGGGGGGCGGGGGGGGCGTGAGGAGGGGGCCTGCGCTGCACCTGCATCTGCTAACACGTCGACCTGGGGCTGACGGGCCGCAGGTGAGCTGGCCCAGGAGCCTCTGCTCCCACCCAGCGCGAGGTGCACGGTGAAGCCGCTTCTTGGGAACCATTTAGCCAAGGACCCTTGTGTCCCATCTTCACACGAACTGCAAATTTCCACGTTCGTGAGGTAGCCAGTAGCGAGGTGCTTGGAGAGAATGCCATCCTAAGTGGGGGGTCCTGAAATGGTTCCAAACCGACGCTATTTCTGGCGCGTAGTGTAGCATTTTCATCTGATGGTGAATGAGGTTTTGTTTTTTTTTTTTAAACCTGTGTGCCCTGGCTTCTCAGTGATGTGCTCTTCTGTGCCGACCAAGTGCCCACGGCTCTGCCAGCCCAGTGGTGCCTCCTCTTTCATCCCAGTTCCTACCGAGGGGGTGAGGGCTATTGCCGCTGACAGTTGGGGCAACTGGGTGAGACACGTGGGTGTCTTCAGACCTCGTTTGGCCCCTTCTATGCTGGTTCCTTTCTCCCAAAGGCCAGATCTCCATGTTCTCTTTGGAAGCTTGTGTAAGCTGGGTTCTAGAAAGTTCTCCCTTTTAGCCTTCCTCTTCAGATTGGGCCTTCAGATATATATTCACTCTGGATTGCTAGCCTTTCAGTTCACCTCCCTCCTAAGGTTCTGGGTCCTGTGGCCCCCCCAGCCCCCCACCCCCATCACACTTAACTCCTCTTGCTTTGGGATAACGTCGTCAGCAACGCAGGACAGTCGCTGTGTGCCAGGCTCTGCCCTAAGTGCTATACAAGAAATGATTTACTAACCAGCTCTGGTAGGCACTCTTCATTTTAGAGGTGGGAATGGAGGCTCAGAGAGGTTAAGTGACTTGCCCAAGGTCACACAGCTAGGAAAGTGGAGGTGCTGGGATTCTGCCCCGTGGCACTTAGTGCTAAGAGCAGGAACTTTGAGGCAAAACAGACCTAGGTATACATCTTGTCGCTGCCCTTGTTAAGGAACTCGGCACGTCAATTCATCCATTTCCTTTTCCTTTGTAAAATGGGCACGAATTTGTCTCTGGCTCATGGAGTAGTTGTAAAGGATGAAATGTAGTGACAGCCAGCAGTGACCCTGGCCCCAGGCACGCTTTGGCCCTCCTTACACTGATGTGGATGGCGCCCCCTCTGTGGGACCATTACTCCTCCCCAGGCTGCATGTGACCAGTGGGACCCTCAAGGGTGACAGCGACAATCCCAGGTCTGGGGCTCCAGGCTGACCCCTGAGATGGAGTCGTCCTGGATCCCAGGCCAGCACACCCAACCCTGCCCCGTAGGGCATCTTTCTGCATCGTGGCCATCTGTCCTCAAGGCTGCGTTCCAGCTCTGCCAGAGTCGGGGAACCTGGGTCCCTCAAGCCCCAAAAGGCAGCTCATCGTAAGGAGAAAAAGTAATTTTAGAGAAACAAGGGGCTTTGGTTGTTAAATTGCTACATCCTCGACACATTCATACACACAGACACACGCACAAGCACTAGCTGCCCCCCCCACACACAAACACCGTCATTCATACACACAGACACACGCACAAGCACTAGCTGCCCCCCCACAAACACCGTTGGGACACTGTGCCGTGACACCCACCACCAGAGTCAACTCTCCACCCCCAAAAGGAACCCGTCTGTTCAGAAAACAAACTTCAACACATCTAAAGGAAAATAACAAAACAAAGAAAACCCAAACTTTACTTGCATTTAGCCATTAATAAATAATTTACAGTATGTACACGCGGTGACACTCCACACAGGTCGCAGGCACAAGGACGCAGTGAGGGGTCCCCACTTCCAAGCAGAATGCGATCAAACACAACCAAAATAAAGTGCTTCACTTTTTACTTCCAACGTAGGGGACCGGCTGAAAACCAGCAGGGGCCTCGCTGCTCCTACCCGCCTGGATTTGGCGGGGGTGGGGTGGGGGGGTGGAGATTGTGGGGAGGTGTTGGGACCTCGGAGGGGGAGGCGGGGACGAGTCCGCAGCCTCCTGGGCCAGTGTATGAGAGGTCCCTGGGGAGCAGCAGAGGGGCTGCTGGGGACACTGGGGGGGCGGGCAGGGACAGTGGGTGGCCGTGGGGCTTCCAGGAGGTTGGCCCTCTGGATCCTGGCCCGTTTGGGTCCCTGGGGGTCTCTGGAGCAGCAGCAGAGGCTGGGCTGGTTTGGGCCTCTTCAGGTGGTCAGCCCGGGCTGTGTGGCCACGGGCTAAGGGAAGGGGCCAGACGGAGACACGCTGCCAGGGCTGCTCCTCTCCCCGGAATGCAGATCTGGGTGGACAGGGTGGGGAGCAGGGCTCTGGGGGCAGGTGGGCAAAAAAAGAGGATCAGGGCAGGCCAGCTGGCCCTGTCCACTGGTCTCCTGCCCATGCCCTGCGGCCCATGTGCCCCAGTCCGAGAGCTCTTGCCATCTGCTGGAGAGGAAGGAACAGAAATCACGGGGTAGTTCTCTGTTTAGACATTTAGAAACTCAGCTCGACTTCCTACGCACAGTGGGGAGTGGGGGCCAGCAGGGGAAGGGCCAGAGGAGGGCATCCAAGCCCACGAGTGGCGTTCCTCAGAGCACGTGTCAACACGCACTGCCTGCGCGGGGGCTCTCGAGGCGGGACCCGGTAACCGGGCCTGAGCCCGTGCCCACAGCAGGCGCGGCACACGTGGGGTCTCACAGGGAGCCCGTGGCAGAAAGGTCCCAGCAGGGCACAACCTTTTGGCCAAAGGGTTATATCAGTTTGCCGAAGATCCCCAGCAACGCCCTGGGAGTGCACCAGGCCCCAGGGGAAAGGGGGCCCACCTGGGGGTCCAGTCTCGGCTCCGCCGGCTGCGTGTGTGCGAGTGTGCTCGTGTAAGAGTGTGTGCGTGCGGCGGGCACGTGCAGCAGTCGGCCGGGCCTGTTCAGTGCATTGCGAGGGGGTGGGATGAGCGGACTCTGACCTTCCGCAGCGTCTCTGGCGGGGTGGGGGCTCCAGCCTGAGGGGCTCGGTTTTGCACATTCACACTGTGGGGCGGGGGGAGGGGAGCTCTCCCCCACACTGCTCTACTGTCACAGACATCACAGCACCAGTCAGTCACCATGACCTTGTCCAGGGCCCTAGAGAGGGCGAGGGGCCGCCCCACGCCCCCAGCACTTGCCAGCAGCTCCGAGGTAACCGTCCCACAGCTCACCGGCCAGCAGCTGCCTCCGCTTCTGACCCCTGCAGAGACCACGGGGTCACCAGAAGCCACCAGCCCTTCTGCAGGCCGGCCAGCTTGGGGCAGGCAGTGTGCCTCGCTCTCCATCCTATGCAGCAAGGGCCTCCAGGAACACAGGGAGCAGGGTGAGGAGCAGGAGGCTGCCCAGGAGGAGCCGAGGGGCCGGGCACAGCCCTGCAGTCGCTGCCCGGCCCGGCGGCTCCCGCGTCCTCTCGTACAGGTGCAGCTTGTCCTTGTTGGAGTGTAGCATCTTGACGTCCTCCAAGGCATAGTAAGCAGCCAGCGTGAAGTTCACGTCGCCTGTGGTGAGCAGGTCGAAGACGCAGGCCTGGTAGTAGAGGTCCTCCACGGGCAGCCTCTCCTTGCACTTGGCCACGGCCGTCTCGTACGGGAAGGTGTCGGGGGCCGCGGGTGTGGGGCTGGTGGCCTGGGGCCTGTAGGCGCCCAGGCCCTCATGGGCACGGAAGGCCTGGAAGTCAATCTGCTGGTTGAGGGGACAGCCCCGCAGGCAGAGGTAGAGGCCCTGACTGTCCCGGTCTTCCACCGCGTTGACCACCTCCTCCGGCATGCGGACTGCGAAAGTCAGGTAGCGGCCCACCTGGCGAACCACGATGGTGGTGCCGATGTACTTGGCCTGGATCTCTACGTGCTGGCCGGACACCTTCTCTGTGATCTTCAGGCTATTGGCCCCGTGCTTGTCCCCACCATTCTTGGAGCCATCGGCGAAGGCGGCTGGGAGCTCATCCATCTCAGCCTGGTACACCTTCTGGTCCACGCACTCCTGGAAGTTTTTGAAGATGATGGTGAGCTGCAAGGAAGAGGGCAGAGAGGGGCGTCAGGGATGCCAGCGACTGCGGAGGGAGAAGGCCCAACCCCGTGCTTATGAAGCTCTCGGGGGAATGAAAGGAGCCCTCAGGATGCCCCAGACCGTCCCTTCCCCATTGTGGTCACCGTTCAGTGCCACCTGCACTCTTGCGTACTTAATATTTTTCTTTAAAACACCTTATTTTTTTACTTGAAAAAAAAGTTGACTTAGAACAGGAACTTGAGATCACTACCCTAAATGGGAGACCAGCTCATTTACTATATGTAATGGTGAATCATAAAAAAGAAAGCACAGCTAATTAAAAGTTAAATGTCATTAATCCACTGTAATAGGCTGAATAATGGCCCCCGAGATATCGGCCCTAATCCTTGGAGCCTTATATGGCAAATCACTTTATGGAGACTATAAAATAGAGGCAGAGGGAAATCTGACCACAGAAAGAAGGCCATGTTTCCACCGAGGCAGAGATTCAAGTGATGTAGCCACAAGCCAAGGGATGCTGGCAACCACCAGAGGCCGAGAGAAGCAATGAAGAGATCCTCCCCTGGTGCCTCCTGAAGGACCAGCCCTGCGACACCTTGATGTTAGCCCTGTGAGATTCACTGCGGACTTCTTGCCTCCATAACTATAGGAAAATAAATGTCTGTCTGTCTGTCTGTCTGAACCACCTTGTGGTACTTGTTACAGCAGCAGTAGGAAACTCATAAGGTCCACAAGCATCTAATGTCTCTCACACCGCCAGTGGACTTCCTGCAGAATTCCTGAAAAAATAAAAAACTTCAAGCCACTGGCTGAACCTAATGGCAGGTGGAACAGAAGAAGCTGATGCTCGAAGAAAGAGAGGGCAAATCCACGCAGGCACGCAGAGACCACGTAGGCTGCCCTAAGGGGCTACCCGGCGGGGTCTTGGAGGGGAGCAGGGGGCAGGAGAGGAACAAGATGCCGGTCAGTGGAAGGAAGAGGGGGGCAAAACTCTGGCCACGGCCAGGGCAGGTTGACCCATTTCTGCCGGAGCCTACAACTGGGGCCAGGGCTGGGCTGAGCCCCTGGAGGAGACAGAGAGCTGATTTGCTGTGTTAGTCACTATCCTCTTGGGAACCACAGACACAGCTGCACTCGTTGGGTCAGTGTGGCAGGCACTGCAGGGGACGGTGACATTACCTCTGATTTGCAGACAGGAAACGCTGGCTCAGAGAGGTAAAGCAACTTGGCCAAGGTCACACAGCCACCAAGAGGCAGAGCCGGGATTAGTCTCTTGGTTTCCAGTTCGTGGGCTTTTCTGGCCACAAACCTACAGAGTGGGTGGCCCGGGAGAGGGATGGGAGGCAAAGAGCCTGGGGAGTATGTGTGAGTCCCTCACCCCCATCGTCATGGGAGAGATGACTGGCTGCTCTTTCCTCTAAAATCTTAACTACGAAGACTGTATGCGAGAGAAGCAACCATCTCATTCCCTGTTCGTGCCCAGATGCCAGCTGGTGCCCTGGGCCGAAGGCACCTGGGACTCTGCTGTCTACCTGGGACACGAGCTCTGTGGGCAGCTGCGGGAAGCCAAAGGTGGCCACAGCCTCTCTGTCCAGCTTCGAGTCCTCCGTATTGAACTGCATGAAACTGCCTCTATATCATCCCTGGCCTCCAAAAACGGCGACTTCATTCGGTTCCACTGCCTGCTGCTTCCTTCCCTCCATCCAAGGCTCCCACCCTGATGTGGAGCCCTGCAGGGGGCCAGGAGGTGGGGCAGCCAGGGTGGTCTGAGCAGTGGGTGGTCCTGTCATTGGAGCAGGGGGCAGGATGAGGGACTCTGGTGTCCCTGCTGGTGTGTGGGGCCACACAAACACTCTGGGGGGTGGGGGGCTGCTTTCCAAGTGGCATTCGTCTCCTGGAACAGGAAAGGCTGGTTTTGCTATAAGCGCCACCTCTCGTGGAGACAGGCTCCTGGACGGCTGACAGGCTGCTTGTGCCAGGGACTCAACCACAAGTAACAGCATGAAGGGGGCCTGTCGAAAGCCGGGCGGCTTTGCTGCCAACAGGGCCACGGGCACGGCTGCTTCTCCTCTCTGCTGCGCCCCCCTTTCCGAGGGGCCTCGGGCTCCCCACTGTGTTGAGCACGGGGCAGAGCCGGGTTTCATCAGCTGTTTACGGAGCACCAGCTACATGCCGGGCCTGTATCCACACGGACTGGAACAGTCCAAGACCCCTGTCCTCATGGAGCTCACATCTGGGGGGCACAGACTGAGCAGATAAATTATGCCGTGTGTTGATAAGCGCTACAGGCGAACGAGCGAGGGGGGGAGGGATGGGAGGCAGAGGCCTGAGTTCGCTGCTCCCTGCTTCCGTTTCCTCATCTGTAAAATGGGGTGCCATGAGCACAGCAGGAAGGAGAAAGAAGGAGCAGAGGGCTGGGCATGGGGCAGTCCCATGGGGGCAGGAAGTTGGCTAACATGTCAGCCTGGGCTGGAACACACTAGACAATGCACAAGAACACAGGGCCGGGCTGGGCTGGATAACGCCAACATCATGGGAAGTCAGCAAAGGCCCCTGGGGAAGGCACGGTGCTGAGGGGAGGCGGGAGGGGAATGGGGTCAAGTGAGCAGAAGTGGCTGGCAGAGGCTTCCTTTGGGGTATGGCAGGCCCAGGCCCCCATCACTTTGAAGATAAAAGCTCCTTGGCTTCTCCTTGCTTCCCTGGAGGTCCCAGGCTGTCCCCACTCCCGTCTCGGCACCAGCACCCCTGTGCCAGTCTTTGTTCCCCATTATTAGCCTGGAACCTGTGAGAGGGAGGCATGCCTGAGCACAGAGGCTGGCACAAAAGAGGTGCTTGGTAGATGTTTGCTGAATCAATGAATGAACCAACGCACACACCTGATAACACCTGAGTAACGGAGGCCTACGAGAAAAGGCAGGGGCAGGCCCCAGGCACTGCGGGTAGCAGCCCAGCCTCACCGGTCACTAACCACAATCCCTCCCTTGACTCTATTATCACATTTGGTGTTTACACCACCCAGGATCAGGAGGAGGAGCACCACCCACCGTGTGCCCCTGCCAGGATGGGACGAGGAGGTAGGGTCCCCTCCCAGAGCTTGTTTGCTGGTGGATTTAGAAGCTGCAGCCTCAGGCTCCCCTCATTCATTTATCTTGGCTATACGGTGGGAGGTGGGTAGGTGAAGGGGCTGCAGAGAAAGCAGCTGGGCCCTTGACAAGGGCCCCCCTCGGTCTGCAGAGGGCTGGGAGGGGAACAGGGCAGAGAGAGAGCCGGCCATAATCCTGCCACCCATTAGGTGCACAGCCTGGGGCCAAGGGCCTCGAGGGCATCCATGGGGCAAAGACTCACTTTGTGTCTTACTCAGCAGGGGGTCCCATAAAGAGACCCCCTTCGGGCATGCAAGGGCCACTGGCACAGAGAGAGAGGGCTGGCAGGAATCTTCCGAGCTGCCAGGTTACCTCACTGTCCTCCCCTGGGGCGTGGAGGGATGGGAAGGAACAGAAACGCCCCTGTGGGCCAGCCTGGCACCCTTGCAACATGCTGTTCCTAGGAAAACAGACCTGCTGCCAACCTGGAAACCCCAGGGGCCCTGGCAGGCCGGGCCCTGAGGGGGCACAGGTGACCCTGTTGCCTGGACTCAGAGGCCACCAGTCTCCCTCTGGCTGAGTCTGAATGTGAGGTCGGGGAGACCCTCGGAAGTGAGGGGGAAGGAGAACCTGGGTGGACGGGAACGTCCCACTGCCTGCACCACAGGCTCTCTTTCTGGGGTTTTAACACTACAGTCCCACAAAAATGTAGTTTGGGGGCAAGAATATAATGAAAGTTTGAAACGGAATGCTCTAGGGAGTGCTTCTTTTGGATTATAACCCCGATAAGAGATCCATCTTACATCTGGATCCAGTGTGTACACACGTGTGTTTACATGCACACGCTCGTGCACACACACAAAACAAGCTAGGTCCCCTTAGACATCCTTAACCAGGCACAGTGCATTCACAAACTGCCTTTTACATATGCCAGGTTATGTCACTCTGTTCATTCTGCCCAGTTAAATAAAATATCTCACTCTAGGCAATATTAAGAGTATATCTAGAACATTCCTTTCTAAATAATCTGCTCATTTACTGGCAGTAAGAACATGGTGGGTGCAGGAGGCGTCTGGGTCGGGTTGGTGGAACCCCACGGGGCAGCCCCATCCTGTCTCACCCTCACCTTGCTGGTGGCCGTGGCGGCCGAGCCAGGCAGCACAGGCGTGTTGGTGACTTGCACGTTCAGGTAATTATTGTCGATGAGCGGCCAGGCGCCCTGCACCTTGCAGGTCTGGAAGCGGTCTGTGAAAGTCCTGAGGTGCGGGTCCCCGAAGAGGCCGCAGTGCGTGTAGTTGGGGGCGGCCGAGTGCTTGTGCAAGCTCTTCTCGTAGTGGCAGATCTCGGGGCTGTCGGAGCGCTCCTGGCTGTCCCCGGGTGGCGGGAGCGTGCGCAGGCGTGGCTGTGACGTGGGGCCATCCTTGGAGCAGTTGTGCTGGCTCATGAGGTCCTCTATGCCATGAACGGCCGAGTGGTAGGCCAGGTCGCCCCGGCAGGTGCGGGCGGTGCGCCGCGTACACAGGGCGTAGGTGCGCAGCGCTGCGCAGAACTCGGGGGCGTCGTCCGAGGCCGGGGCGTGGCCACCCGCCGTGGCGCTCCAGAACTCAGAGTTGCACTTGAGGATCTTGCACGGGGAGGTGGCTGTGGAGAAAGGACGAGACACGCCATCAGGCTGGGCGCGTGCATAAGGACACCCCATTTGAGACAGCACCACCCACACTGTACTTTCTCGCACAGATGGTGACCCCGGCCCCCTTCCCGCGCGCAGGTGGTAGTAAAGGGCGGATCTGCCCCATAGGCCTTCCAGATTCTTCTGTGCAGCCTATAATGAGGCAGGCACGCTGCAAGGGTTGGCAGTGGCCCCTGTGGAGAGGACTGGTTAGCGTTTGGCGGCAGCAGGACAGGCCACCTTTGGGCCTTTGACATCTGTTAACACTTTCAAAGCCATCCCCAAGAGTTTGGCAAAAGCAACAGGAACCTGGCAGGTAATTACTTGGTGTTAAATGCGTGTCCCAAGCTCTGTCACTTTTGTGACCTTGTGCAAATGGCTCAAGTTCTCTATGCCTCATACCACCTGGAAAATGGGTAATACACAGTACCTGCTGTGGGAGTTTGCTGGAAGTGGTAAAGGGCTCAGAAGGGCACCAGCATTCAGCTGAAGCTCACTGAATGTTTGCTAGTGTGATTACTGTGTTAGCCCTGGTCACAGAGGGCCTGGTCCCTGTCACCTCGTCCACGTGCCTCCAGCCCTCTCTATCCTGCTCAGCAGAGCAAGCTGGGAGGCAACTGAGAGTGAGGACTTTGTATTTGCCCCAATTTGTGTGTGATTTTTAAAAAACAAGTCACCAGCTTTGACACCTAAGCAATAGTTAGCCATAAATGGCTACGTCTGAAAACCATGGCTGTAGGAACCTGGCTTCCCGGGTGTCCCCAGTCACTCAAAACCCTGGGGCCTTGCACACCTTCCTAGGAGTTTAAGAGGAAGCGCAAGCACCATCCTACACGGAGAAGCTGTAGATCGGGGGGCATGGCTTGCAAGGGGCCACTGAGACTGACGAGCTGAGACTGGACTCGGTGGCTCCCATTCCCTTCTGCCACCTCTCCAGGCAGTGACACAGCTCTCCAGGGCCTGTCTGCCTAAAATAGACATGCATGGGATTATCATTCCCTGGGGGTGTCGGGGATGGGCATCAGGGATGCCAGGGTTGGTCAGTCCCCATGGGTGGTGAACTGAGGGGCCCCCGCCCCCCATGGAGTCATCCTGCCGTCCTGTGTAAACTAAATCACAGGCTGAAGGCCTCCCCAGGTCAGGGACCGGAATGTAACCTGGCCTGGCATCAAAAGGAAAAATTGTGCTGTGGTGTCACCTGCCAGAGAGACCCCAGAGGGGCCGATTTTTATGTTCAGTATCTTTAATAAAAAAGCACAAGACCTGAATTCCAGGCCATAAACCTTGGTTGGCCTCTTCTGATGCGAGTGTCCAAGAAGCAAGGAGAGGAAAGTCTGAGAGTTTGAAACAGATCCTATTGCAACTTGTGCAAGCGAGAAGAGGAAACCAGCTTTGCAGAGCGAGCCACCCTGGTGATTCCAGCGTGACGGAGGGCGGCCAGCTGCCTCCTTTCTGCCTGGTTCCTGCAGACGGCAGAGTGGCTCCTCTGGCCCTGCGGCCACTTCTTGGTGGATCAAGACAGCCAATATGCACAGAGCCAGGGGGTTAAAGGACTCGAATGGAAGTTTAGCCACTGTGGCCTTTGGCAGGGACAGCTCTGGGGGCCTCTGCTAACTCTTCCACCCGGGGCTCCACCCCAGATGCCCAGGGAAATGCAAAGGTGCCCCACAGACCTTGTGCTCCTTAGAAGTCCGTTATGCATGTTTTGTTTTGACCCAGGCCTCTTGAGATAGGACTTTCAGGATTAGCTAGTGGTGGAAAAAAGAGAATCCAGAGGCTGCGAAGACTGGCCAGCTGGGGCAAAGGGTGGGGTGCAGGCAATGCCTACAGCACGGTGGGCTCCCAGACTTACTGGGGATAGAGTGGATCCTCGGCAACCATTGGACCAATCTGCTCCTGACTCGTGCAATGAGGGCGAGAGCTTCCTGTTTCTCTGGGCAATCGATTTATCAAGAGCCCTAATAATCACTTTGGGACCAACCTCCATGTTGGCTTCTCAAGGTGCACTGTGGAGTTTTAGAACCTGGGGCCCGAGGGACGCCAGAGGTCCCCAGTTTCCACCTCCAGCCAGCCTCTACGGCAGGAAATCTCCCTGCAGCATCCCTGCCTGGTGGACATCCGGTCCCCACTGCCACGGGAACTCTGCTAGAACGAGGCCGGTCCCTCCTGCTCTGAAATGCTCCAGCTCTGGATCCACGCCTGCTTCCTAGGGCCTTTCACGGCCGATCCTTCTCTGGAGCCACACAGAAAAGGCTCGAATAGAAATGTCAATAATGGACGGCTCCTTGGCTTCCCTGTGGCACTTTCTTCAGCCTCACCCCCTACTGCTCTGTGAGCCATGCCATGACACTCTAGCTCAGTGCCACCTCCTGCCCCCGAGTCCCCCGAGAGCAAGGGCCCCTTATCATTGTCCTGGAATTTTTGGCTCCCACGCTCAAAGCATCTGTGCCCCAGCACCCCACATATATAACATTTCATTTTGCCGGGAACTGGGCTCTAGGCAGCTTCCTTAGTGGGCTGATACGCGGCAGGGAGAAATCACAGCCACAGAGCTTTGCCTGACTTAATTGTTGTCCTTTAAATAGTAACCCAGAGCCTCTCAGAAACAGAAACAGAGGCAGGGAACTTGGAGTACCAACTGTACCAACCCAGGCAGGATGAAAATATTTACGCCACGGAGCGGCATTAGCTGCCTTAGGGACCGCCTTTGAACTGTTAATCAAGCCCAAGCCTTCAGAATAATAGCCTGATTATTACTGTCTTGTTTGCATAACAAAGAAGCCCAATCAAACTTATTTTGCTATGTGCCCAGGGGGGTGTGAGGGATGGGCCCCGAGAAAGGAGCTTTAGGGATGCGGTGAGCTGCTCCACAGCCAGAACCCAGGAATAAAGACAATGCAATTTGCCACCAAGAAAAGCCCAATAGACCAATAAATTACCCGCGTGCAAAGGGATTAGATCAGGTTTCACTAGCGAGTGGGGGGGTGGGGGGTGAGCCAGGAAACAGAAAAACCTGCCTCTTAAAGGAGTAAAAGGCTCATTTTGAAAACAAGCCCCAATACAAGGTCAAATAGCTGTTGTAAGACTCGGTGCCTTGCCTGGTAACTGCCTGGATTCATGACTTGCTGAAAGTTCTGGACGCTACTGTGTGCCAGGTACCGTGCTCGATGCTGTTCCTGGAACAAGCCCCAGCGAGCGCCTGTGCTCAGGAACAGTCAGCCATGGAAACTTCTAGAATGCAAAGCAAGCACGTTTCCTCTGAATACTAAACCACAACAGACATGCACAAACGGAGGATGAGAGGGTATCGTGGAAGTAGCATTTCAACCAGGCGTTGAAGGGCAGTGGGATCTGATGGGTGATGCCAGGAGGGGTCCCAGAAACACGAGGCCTCCATCTAGCACAGCTGAAGTCGGCCGGAGGCAAAGTGCTGCTTGGTGAGCGTGCAGCCAGGAGTTTGAGGCAAGACACGCGAACCCCGAGTACCAGCTGTGCCCGTGGTAAAGCAAATGTTGCTCAGCTTCAACCCGCTTTCTTCTGCTTGGTGGGGCAGGGACTCTGAAAACCTAGTTTCTCTTGTCACCCGGCTCCCTGTTAGATTCTACCACAAGGGGGCACTAGACAAAGGGAAGGCTGTTGGTTCAGATGGTTTACTTTCTGTCCTCAGGCTGTTTCTATCACCACCACCCAGCTGGAGCTACTGCAAAGCACTGAGACCAGTCAGACAGGAACCCCTTTCAGTGACCTGGGCCCCCAAGCTCCCTTTCCCTTTGTCCCTCCAGACCCAGGGTTGTAAGCCACTTCCTGCTACTCTGTGCCCTCACACCCATCCACTGCCCCCCATGTTAAGATCCCTCTGTGGACATACCCCGGTGGCTTTTCTTCTGACTCAGCCCTGATACTCCAGCCTAAGGATTTCAGACTAGATCCAGTTGATCATGGAGCCCTGGATAATTTTCAGTAAGAACAGGGCACGATGAGAACACTATTTCAGGACGCAGTGTAACTTAAGAGGCAACGGCTTCAATCAAAACAGAAGCAGGCAGAACAGAGGGAGAGCAGCACAGACGCGGAGGCAACGAGCCACCATGCGGGTCCTGAAGGAGGCGGGAACGGAACACCAGCTGTGGGGGGGCGCACCCTGCCTTACCCAGCGTGACAGCCAGCAGCTGGAACGGGCCACTCTCCACCCTCTCCAGTCCCTTAGTATTGAGTTTAGGAGGGGACAGTTAACGGATCTAGGGCCAGTATTTAGCGAACTCTGGCCTGGGCAGTGTTCTGGAATCTCCTTGCTTGAGCGATGCCTGAGGCTGGCTGGCTGTGTCACTCCTGTAGGAATTTCACTCCACCGTCCTGCCCTAAACAACCAGGTGTTTGGCATCAGATACTGAAAGGAACACACCCAGGTGACGGGGTGGATTTTTCACCAGGTGCAGCAGATGCTACCTTACTTAACCTACAAGCAGCCAGAATTGATCAAGTTTCCGAAAAGGCATTCGGTCCCAGTCCAGCCCAAGAATGCCCCAGGGAACTGACCTCGCCAATGACTCCAATGAGTCTCCCACCCCTTGAACGCACTGGAAAGTTCCTGGGGTTTCCCTTAGGAGCTGATGTACAGGAGAAAGAGCGAGGCAAGAGGAGAAGAAGTTTCTCGAAGAATCTCAAGTGACCTGAGGAGCGGGGGAGGGTGGATTGGGGAGTTGGGGGTTAACTTCCTGCCAAGTGTGGGCAGAGGTGGCTGAGTGCCACTCAGCCAGCTGAGGCAGGGGGCACTGTCCCTGGTCACACCCAGCTGCTCTGCCCCAGCCTCCGCACATGCCAAGTTGTCGCAAGAAGCCACACTGAGTGCCAAGGAAGAGGGCGCACCTCAGCTTACAAACTGGACACCCTTCCCCAGCTCCCACTGGGGTCACATGGAGCCAGATCGACAGCAAACAGGACATTCTAGGCCACAGCGGGGACTGTCAGGCGG